TAACTAGTGAGCGAGTCAGAATGACTTATTTCCCTTTATAGTCGACCAATGGAAGGTTGACCAATCAGAAGCCGCACAACACTGTATTCGTCGTGTATAAAGGCGGCCATCTTGTTTCCTCTATCGGAAGGACCAAAGTCGACCAGGAGAAGGATGAACTACACTCTGCTGTGATATCCACTGCGAACCTGCACTACGCTTTCCGACTGTCTCCGAAATATTCACTGCTAACCTCTGGATTCTATACTCGAGGACGGCCGTCATGAAAATGTCTAACAATGTCTCGCGTATATTAGGAGAGTGGTCGAAAAGGAAGCGATGAAGAGATAATGCTTTATGGGAAAGTGTGAATACGCAGCATATTCCACTATACTTTTATATAAATGTCCTGTCTCCTGTATGCCATGTTAGTTGACAGTGAAGGGAAGTAGCAATGTTAAATGCCATGTCTCATGAATTTCCTTATAGCTGACAATTAGGAAGTGAAAGAAGTATTTTGGGGGAAAAGTGTGAATACACAGCGCACTAACAAATATCAAAATCCTCCATCACCTGCATACCAAGGTAGTTGACGGCAAAAGGAAGTGGTGGTAATACTTTAGACAGTGCAGTTAATCTACTGCACAGTGCTCTGTCAGACGTCTCAATAAAAATGTCATTACTCTGGCATGCCAACTGATTTGTCCAAGATGAAAAATGTGATACAAATTTTTGAAAAAGAATGAAACCAAACTCCATTACTCTATCACATACTTTGTTACAAATGATATGTATCCGTTTAGTGACGATTATCTTGATTAAAGATATAGGTGAACAAAGAAAGGCAAGAATTCACATCCATGTACACAAAAACTTACGGCAATATCACGTGAAAACAACGGTTGCCATACTATCAACGAAGTTAAGCAACGTTGAGCCTGCTCAGTTTCTTGATGGGTGATCGCTTCGGTGTGATTTGGCTTGGTTTATTTTGTTATAGGTTATCTAATACCGACAAGATTTTTAGGATAGGTTCGTATGAATAAAATATGTATTCTTTGTAAGAAAGCACTTCGTAGTTCAGAGTTTGGGTTTATTTTGTTTTACGGCATATCAACATCTCAATGGGTTATTTAATGCCTACAAGATTTTTACGATAGGTTCGTATGAATAGAATATTTCTTATTTGTTAGAAATCAATTTGTAGATCAGAGTTTTGCATTATTTGTGTTACGGCATATCAACACATCAATGGGTCATATAATACAGACACGATTTTGAGAATAGCTTCATATGAATAGAATATGTAGTCATTGTAAGAAATCACTTTGTAGATCAGAGTTTTGGTTTATTTTGTTTTACGGCATATCAACCTCAATGGGTTATTTAATGCCGACAAGATAGGTTCGTATGAAAAGAATATTTATTCATTTTAATTTTATTTATTTTTTTATGGTAATTATTTTCCAAAAATATATTGCTGGTATTTTTACTAGAAAAATCCCTTTTTATACTTTTATAGTGTTTTGGCACCAGTTTGGTGGTTAATTATTTGCCCATAGCTGGGACCCTAACAACTGATACCAACCCAGGTTAGGGTTAACCTGTGAATAACTTCAATCAAGATGCGGTTCCACGCTCCTCAAGATCTCCCGATCAGAGGCCTTGCTGCCGGATGTAATTTATCCTCATACCGAGGACGGACATCTTGAGGATAACAGGTGCGGCATGCTTTTATGTGTGTGTAGTGTAATGGACAATCGCTCGGAAGTTTTAATCGAAGAGCCGAGTTACACTTGGGATATCGTTATCTGTCCCTACCAAAAAATAAAAATAATAATAATAATAATTTTACAATCTAAAATATTTTCTGGCATTTAATAATCTGCAATACTGATAAGCCAGACGAACGAACTAATCAAATAATGTACACTCACTTACTCTGTACACTGTCAATATTTAATTCGGCTTACATTGACCAAGCAGCCTATGCTAGTTGAGTTACGCTTTTCTTCACTCACTGGACATCGGTCTGGGATCAAAGTGTAGTATCTGTTCTCTTCTCCCTAATGGTAATATTAGCTGGCCCCTTATAAGGAAACATTCCGCATACATTGACCGATGGGGCTAATGCTACTTGAGTTACATTTTTCTTCAATCCCTGGACATCTGGCTGGGATCAAAGTGTAGTATCTGTTTCCTCATCTCTAATCGTAATGGTAATATTAGCCGTTCCCTTATGCGGAAACATTCGGCATCCATTGACCGAGCAGCCTGTGACGTCCCCCGGTGTTGCTGCGCCAATCGTGACGTCTGCCTGGCCGCGCCCGACGTGCTGTCCTAGTCGCGGCGCCAATTGTGACGTCACCACGTCTCTCTCCGCGCCGTCGCCGTCCTATCCTGTCCTGTGACGACCAATGTGACTTGGTATTGGTCGCGGCACCAAATGTGACGTTCTAACCTTTTGCTGATTCGGATGGGATTCGGTATCAGCCCTATCGTTCCCAGCTCGCCTCCAACGTCTGGTTACCGAAGTAACTGCTTTGATTTCTAGTCTAACCTACCCACCTTGTGATTTGATCTTAGGTAGACGAAATCAATCAGTCGCCGCGCCGTAATGCAAGCTGAGCCCGGACAAGGGTAACACCGCACAAGTATATGTAAAAGAAAATAATGTAATATCTCGAAAAATTCAAATATGTTAAAAAAAAGATAACAATATTTTATATCTGGTTGCTGAATACAAGACTGCGTCTTTCTACCAACCCGCTTATATGGATACGTGACACTTTGCGTTTGTTAGGCGAGTCTTAACATCTTAAATTGTTCTTTTAAGAAACTGGTTTTGGTGTATCTTCAGGCGATATACGTAAAACTTGTTTTGGTGGTGTGAGTCTAAGTCGTTCTTCAAAAATAACTTGTTCTTGGTTAGAAGTTGAGGTCGTGATTGCGTGAATCTCAGTCAGTTTCATGCGAGGCGGGTCTTCAGAGCTCTCAGCTCAACTTCAACTGTTTGCCTGTCTGTCTCCAACCCCAACTGCGAACTGCCAACTGTCATCTTACTCGTTGCGACTCTGCTTATATGGACACCGACCAAAACCAGGGTGGGCCTGTCGGGGTTTGAGCTTCCTTGATAATTCTAAATCCGCATTAAGGGTTTTTCTTTGTTCTCGGTCAGGAAGAATTATTAATTTCCATTTTTGGAAGTCTTTCGTCCTCTCAAATTCTTCCTTTCTCATATTGGTATCTCACCCATACCCTCAGAAGGTGTCAACGGGTTTCCCCTCTCTCTTACAGTGGCATCTCACACTGATCCATTCAGGGGGGCGTCAACAGTCCTCACCTCCTTCTTCACATGATTACCTTCGCCTACCGCTCACGCCACCATTCAGCAAATGGGCGCTCAGTGGCGTGGGTGTGGCCGGACTAGCCTCGGTTTAAAAAATCTTGCTCAAAGAAAAAAAATTATCTTCCTTTTTCTTTTTCTTTTTCTTTTCTTTCTTTTTCTTCTTCTCGACAACAAATCTTTAGACTCTTATCTTAACCGAATGTCACCTGGACTTTATCAATCAGACCTTCGTCAAACAAGTGGGTGGTCATCTGGCGATATCCACAGCCAATTATTCGTTCTGATAAAATAATTTTGCTATCATGGCCAGCTCTTGACATAAAACAGGTGCCTTTTCTAAACGACATCTCCGCAGATAGCTAATGGGTCAGTCTCTCTTTTTTTGTAACTCTGCGGGTGGTCCAGCGGACATTTTTCTCGCGACCCAATTAATTTTTATCTCTTAGAATTCTGTCCTGTAGGCCACCTGACCGACCTGAAATTTTCACCATTGCCATACTCGGCACACCGTCATAAATCAAACGCGACAGATCCGCGACCTTACTTTCTTCGCTAATGAAAATGAAATCTTTACCACTTTTCTTTGTTAGAAAAAAATAACATCGTCTTTTCGTGGTAGATTCTTATCAACTAATTTAATTCTCGCCTCTTTTTTTTCACACAACCCTAAATAGTGTCTGGGATTAAAGTGTAGTATCTGCTCTCCTCTCCCTAATGTTAATATTAGCCGTTCCCTTATAAGGAAACATTCAGTATACATTAGCCGAGCAGCCAATGCTCCTTGAGTTACGCTCTTCTTCACTCCCTGGACATCGGGCTGGGATCAAAGTGTAGTGTCTGTTCTCCTTTCTCTAATTTTTATAGTAATATTAGTTGTTCCCTTATAAGGAAACATTCGGCATTCATTGACCTAGCAGCCAATGCTACTAGAGTTATGCTTTTCTTCAATCCCTGGACATCGGGCTAGGATCAAAGTGTAGTATCTGTTCTCCTAATCTCTAATAGTAATGTTAATATTAGCCGTTCCCTTATAAGTAAACATTCGGCATTCATTGACCGAGCAGCCAATGCTACTTGGGTTACGCTTTTCTTCACTCCCTGGACATCGGGCTGGTATCAAAGTGTAGTATCTGTTCTCCTCATCTCTAATGTTAATATTAGCCGTTCCCTTATAAGGAAACATTCGGCATTCATTGACCGAGCAGTTAATGTTACTTGAGTTACACTTTTCTTCACTCCCCTGGACATCGGTCCGGGATCAAAGTGTAGTATCTGTTCTCCTAATCTCTAATGGTAATATTAACCATTCCCTTATAAGGAAACATATGGCATTCATTGACCGAGCAGCCAATGCTACTTGAGTTACCATTTTCTTCAATCCTTGGACATCAGGCTGGGATCTAAGTGTAGTCTCTGTTCACCTCATCTCTAATGGTCTATGCCCGCCATGCCATTTACATTGTAGCAAACCACTCACATTCTCTTCATCCGTGATAATTAAGTTCAACTCGAACAACAGTTCTGTGCAACCGAAACCCAAGAGGATATTTCCCTGATCATTACCATCTTAAACAAATCTCGAGTTAACCGTTTTTATCTTCCCCTCCTATCCGTATACACTACTCTACCTCGAGTGACTCCCTTTTACCTTACTGTAAAAAAAGTAATTAAATTAATACCAATTGTCCTGAAGACTGATATAACAAATGACAAAAAGACGAAAGAGGAAGAAAGAGTAAGAAATAAAGCAAGAAGAAAGAGGAGAAAACAGAGGGAACAGGTCAAAGAAAAGAGATCTTGTAGGAGGAGGAGGAACGGTGAGAGAAGATTTAAATACAGAGAAAAGAGAAAAGTGTGAGTAGATGTAAAGAAAGAAAAACGGAAGAAGGAGGAACAGTGAGAGAAAATCTAGATGTCAGGAAGAGAGAGATAAGGTGAATGCATGAAAAGTGTGAGTAGAGAGAAAAACAGGAGGAGGAGGGGGAGGAGTGGCGAGAGAACATCTAAACAGAGGAAAGGAGAGAACGAGGAAAAGTGGTAGTAGATCTAAAGAGAGAAAAACTGGTGGCGGAAGAAAAGTGAGAATATAGATAGAGGGAAAGAGAGAATAAAGAAAAGTGTGAATAAATCTAAAGAGAGAAAATCGGAAAGAGGATGAGGAGCGACGAGAAAAAATCTAGATGTAAAGAAGGGAGAGATAAGACGAGGACAAAAAATGTGAGTAGGGCGAATGAGAGAAAAACGAAAAGAAGAGGGATGGTGAGAGAAGACCTAAATAAAGGGAAGAAGAGAATGAGGAAAAGTGTCATTAGATGTAAATAGAGAAAAACGCAAGGAGGAATAGGGAGAGATAATCTAGATACAGGGAAGGAGAGAAAGGGGAAAAGTGTGTGCTCATCACAATACAGAAATCGTGAGGAGGAACGCTGAGAGAAATTCTAAACAGAGTCAAGGAGAGACTGAAGGAGACTTAGTAGGAAGGAGGAGGAATGATGGGAGAAGACTTAAATAAAAAGGAGGAGAGAACGCGGAAAAATGTGATTAGATCTAAAGAGAGTAAAAAGGGAGGAGAAGCAGTAAGAGAAGATCTAAATAGAGGGAAGGAGAGAACGAGGAAAAGTGTGAGTAAATCTCAATATCGTAAAAAGATAAGAGGAGGAAGAAGTGGAAGAATAGTGAGAGAAGATTTATATATATAGAAGAAGAGAAAGAGGAAAAGTGTGCGTACTCGAGAGTGATACAAGGAAGGAGGAGGAATGATGGGTGAAGACTTAAATAAAAAGGAGGAGAGAAGGAGGAAAAATGTTAGATCTAAAGAGAGTAAAACGGGAGGAGGAGCAGTAAGAGAAGGTCTAAATAGGGGGAAGGGCATAATGACTAAAATTTGAGTACATCTCAACATATAAACACGAAAGGTGGAATGATGGGAGGAGATATAAATATCGGTAGGAATAGGAAGAGTATGAGTAGATCTAAGGAGGTAAAAGGAGGTGTGACATATTGAGGGAGAAGATCTAAAGAAAAAGAAAGAGTGAACGAGGAGAAGTGTGAGTAGATCTGAAAAGGTAAAAGGAAGAGGAAGAAATGGAGGTAGAAGTTCTGAAAAAAATGAAAAGAATGACAAGTGTGAGTTGATCTAAAAAAGGAAAAGGAGGAGTGAGAAATAGAGAAGACATCTAAATAAAAGGAGACAATGAGGAAAAGTGTGAGTAGATCTAAAAAGGTAAAAGGAGGAGTGAGAAATGGAGGGAGAAGATCTGAATAAAAAGAGTGAATGAAGAAAAGTGTGAGTAGATCTAAAAAGGTAAAAGGAAGAGGGAGAAACGGAGAGAGAACATCTAAATAAAAGGAGAGGGTGAGGAAAAGTGTGAGTAGATCTAAAGAGATAAAAGGAAGAAGAAGAAATGGTAGGAGAAGATCTAAATAAACAGCAGGAGAGAACAAGGAAAAGTGTGAGTAGATCTATAGAGATAAAAGAAGGAAGGAGGAATGGTGGGAGAAAATCTAAATAAAAAAAGAACGAGGAAAAGTGTGAGAAGATCTATAGAGGTAAACGGAGTAGAAAGAAATTGTGGGAGGGAATCTAAATAAAAAGGATGAGAGGACGAGGAAAAGGGTGAAAATATCTAAAGAGGCAAAAGGAGGTCAGAGGAATGGTGGGAGAAGATCTAAATAGAATGAAAGAAATAATGAGGAAAAGTGTAAGTAGATCTAAAGAGATAAAAGGAAGAAGAAATGGTAGGAGAAGATCTAAATAAACAGCAGGAGAGAACAAGGAAAAGTGTGAGTAGATCTATAGAGATAAAAGAAGGAAGGAGGAATGGTGGGAGAAAATCTAAATAAAAAAAGAACGAGGAAAAGTGTGAGAAGATCTATAGAGGTAAACGGAGGAGAAAGAAATTGTGGGAGGGAATCTAAATAAAAAGGATGAGAGGACGAGGAAAAGGGTGAAAAGAGGTCAGAGGAATGGTGGGAGAAGATCTAAATAGAATGAAAGAAATAATGAGGAAAAGTGTGAGTAGATCTAAAGAGATAAAAGGAGGAAGGAGGAATGGTAGGAGAAGAGCTAAATAAAAAGAAGCGAACGAAGAAAAATATGTAGATATAAAGAGATAAAATGGGCAATGGTTGGTGAAAATCTAAAAAAAGGAGCAGAGAACGAGGAAAAGTGTGAGTAGATCTAAAAGAAAAAAGGAGAGGCATATCGAAGGAAGAGCATGTTACAGAGAAGGAAAAATAAATGGTAGAAGATGGGTGGAAAGAGAGAAACCTGTAAAAAGAGAGAGGATCACATAATAAGATACTGGGAGTGGGTGAAGAGGAAAAGTAAGAGGAGAAATAAAGACAGAAAAAGAGAGGAGGAGGTTTAGAGCATAAATAACTAATTTCAAAGAAATAAAAATGAGGGAAATGATTGGACTTATTTTTATATATTTTGTTCCTTTTCACGATATTGTGATCACGGTTCTCCACAATTTCCTATCATTTGTATCTCTTTACTAAAGACATTAATCGTTAGAATGACATCTTTGTTAACACACGTCTTCTCTTCATAAGTGAGTATATTGAAATTTTTCTTCTCTCTTAAAATTTGCTTAGCTTTTTCAAGACATTTTTGACTATTCCTATGCGTATTGGATTTTATATGAGAGGATTAATATTACATAAAAGTTCAGATCTTTTGGGTGGGTGTAAGACAAGGATGGGTCGTCTGACCGGACTTATTGAACCAATGCAGTGTTCCAATTTCGAGTTAATTATAATTCCTTCCAGGATTCATTATTGTCGGCCACAGTTTTAACAACATTTGATATGCTGATGATCCAGTATTGACAGGAAACAGAAAAGACTCCTATAGAAGATAGTGGAGGAAAGCGGGAAGAAAAGGACTAAACTCAATTGGAAGAAGACAAAACGCATGGTTTTTAGCAAAAGGGAAACAGAAAGGACTCCTATAGAAGATAGTGGAGGAAAGCGGGAAAAAAGGACTAAACTCAATTGCAAAAAGACAAAACGCATGGTTTTTAGCAAAAGGGAGAGTCCAGTATGTAAATTATAAATTGGAGATGTGATATCAAACACGTACAAAACTTGAAATATCTTTGGTGTGATTTAACAGAGAACTGAAAATGTAACCCTGAAATCTGAAGTTGCATTGGATAGAGAAAGATGACTTTCAAAAACAAAGCAAAGTATTAAGAAATCGAAATAGAAAAAATCGTTAGAAACCATGCAAAGAATCCTGAACTATTATGTAATATCAGTCCTGAACTATTATGTAATATCAGTCCGATTATATGACACATCCAAACTTAGAGTACCTGACTTTCCCCAGCGGTCACGCATCTAGGTACTGGCCAGTTTTGACATTGCTTAACTTCGGTAATTGTACGGGAAACGGTGTTTCACCATGATATAGCCGTAAGCCCATAGTTTTTTATAAAGCAAGTAAGATTTTTTTTTATATTTGATGGTTTTTGTTTACTTTTCGTGTCGGCTTCTCGTTAACGAAGTCTTCGTCTCTGTCCTAGAAAGTTTTATTCACTTTAATGTTTTTATTTGTCTTTTAATATCTAGTGCCTTTTCTAGTTGCAGACAATATAGCTGCATTTTAGAAAAGAAAATGGAGTTATTCAAATAAATAATAATATATGCACGTCTATTGATTATGAAATATGTTCTTGCATTTTAAAAACCTTACAATAAACTAAAGAATGAAGTAATCGATTTTATCATATTTTTTAAAAGATTTGCTTTATGGCATTTTTTGTCATTTGGTCAATAAAAGAACACTATAATTTGCGATCGGTCTTTTTAGGTGAATCAATAGCTAAGGGCAAATTCAAAAATCAAACGCCATTTTGACAGACTTCAGAAATACAAGAAATTTAAAGAGAAAAATGGAGCGTAAATGAAAATGCAAATGACAGAAATAAAAATCTGCTCAGTCATAATTTTTTTCTCGTTTTATTAACTTAAATAATGATATTCAGATCAGTCGTTTTAGTTAAATAAGTCATTCAAAGAACTGTACGCAATTAGTTGATCAGGGTCGTACACCAGACTACTTTGGCTGCACGAAGCAATGCCTAATACAGAACATTATAAAGAGTAGTTTACAGGAACATCTTCCAAAATCTAGATGGCCAGAAAATAACAACTGATCCTTCTGGTCTCATTGGGGAAGGACTGGCTTTCATATATCCCACTCCCATCGAACAGATAAGAGATGTTTCATCTATGCTGAAGGGTGTCTCTCATCTCAAAGGGTCCCCTTGACTTGAATGTCTATAAGAACTCAAGCAATCCCCATACCAAAAGTGGAAATCATTTAAACATTCTACTACTAAAGATGCTTGAAAAATGGCCTGTTCATTGCACTGATCCAGTTAGTAATTGATTCTCTCTGCTATACTCTAACTTTACAAGTGCCAGATCAGACTAAAAATGGATTATTACATCCCATCCCTCACATGATGTCTTCATCAAGTTTCATCATGATTGAGAAGCTCCAACCCAGATAAGATAACAAAACCCAAAACGATTATTTTTCACCCTACAACACCTTTTCTCACAGGCGAAATGACGCGAGCCTCTCGTTGGTTTATCGCTGTTTCCAAGGAATGTGTTCTGACGAGCGACATTTCTTGGTCCGGCCTTACCTTTGCATCGGAGACCCGCTATGCCACATACACGCGGGTGAATCACCCACATTCCCTTCGTATTTCATTATTAAGTTCTCTTCAGACATTTTCTTCCCAAGAACTGCTGCTTTGTGTCACAGACTCCCTGAATGACATTTTTTCCCAATGACCATAATCTAGACATTTTCAAGTAAATTAATCATTATATTTCCGGCATAAACACATGAACTTCCTATCTTGTCTTTTCTTACGCTCCTACAGCATCACATAATAACCATTTACATTGAATGATTATTTTGCTTTGTTTTGGGTGAATATTAGTATAAACTAAACTTCCGGTGACCCGCTGGGTCATTGATAGTTCAAGTTATAAAATACTGAAGTTGATTTCAACATTAAAAATATAGTCTGTTTGAAGGCAGTTGAAATAAAAATACTTACTGTATAAACAACATCTATTTTTTACATCTTATTCACTTAAAACATTAATCAGATTAACTTTAAAATATTCTTTTAACATTCACCCAAAATATTTTTAATCATATTCACTTGAAAATATTTTTTAATATGCTAAAAATATTTTTTAAATATTTAAAATACTGTTTGTTTAAAGAAAGCTGAAATATAATTAATCTACAAAAAACTGAACGAAACAGCAAAGCGGGATCTCTTTGTGACTGTCTTTAACTTAAAAAAATATTTTAATTAAAAAAAATTGTGTTTGAAGGAAGTTAAAATAAAATACATACAATATGAACAACTCGTATTATTAAATCTTATTCACTAAAATATTTTTAAAATCAGATTGATTTAAAAATATTCTTAAATATTTAAAATATTGTTTCTCTTTTGTATCTCGCGTCTTTGAATCTTTCTCTTGTTAACAAACGTCCTGTCTTATTACAATTGATAATTAGTCCTTTCTTCTCGCTTTCTTTTGCTGCATTGCCTCGGAGTTCTTGAAGTTTTCTTTCTGGGTTATCGTCTGTATAAAAATTGTGCCCGCCGATATTAAATCCTGGTAGGACATCCACATTTTTATTTCATTGATTTGTCTTTGCAAATTTGGAGTCAACGAACTAATGTTTTCTTGTTACTGTCAAAGGCAAAGTTTCTTTTTTCTCGCTTCTACTTTTTATTAACCATTATTAATTTTATCGATATTCTGATATCATCTTCTCTTGATTAACAGCCATGTTGGATTTGATTAGAACGGCAAATTGCTTTCTTGATGTCATTATACTCACAATGCAGCATAAAACTCACTTTAAGGTCAGATTCTTCTATTTTTGCTATTTATTCTTTCATTCTTTCTTTCTTCCTTTCTTTCTTTCTTTCTTTCTTTCTCAATAATTTTAAGATCTTTCTTTCTTTCTTTCTTTCTTTCTTTCTTAATAAATCACCACTCTTTCTTTCTTTCTTTCTTTCTTTCTTTCTTAATAATTCACCACTCTTGCTTTCTTTTTCTTTCTTTCTTTCTTTCTTTCTCAATATTTTACCGATATTTCTTTCTTTGTTAATAATTCACAACTCTTTGTTTGTTTGTTTCTTTCTTTCTTGCTTGCTTGCTTTCTTAATAATTTCCCGCTTTCTTGGTCTTTCTTTCTTTCTTTCTTTCTTTCTTTCTTTCTCAATATTTTACCGATCTTTCTTTCTTTCTTAATAATTCAACACAATTGCTTTCTTTCTTTCTTTTTTCATTTCTTTCTTTCTTTTTCATTTCTTTCTTTCTTTCTTTCTTTCTTTCTTTCTTTCTTAATAATTTCCCACTCTCTGTATTTCTTTCTTTCTTCCTTTCTTTCTTTCTTTCTTTCTTTCTTTCTTTCTTTCTTATGTCAAATCCTTTTATCTTTATTTTCGTTTATTTATTCTTTCTGTCTTTTTTTTTCTTTCTTGCTTGTTTTCTTAATAATTCCCCGCTCTCTCGGTCTTTCTTTCTTTTCTTCTTTCTTTTTTTCTTTTATTTCAATGTCTTACTTTTTTTCTCTCTTTCATGAAAATGAACTCCTCACGTCATATTATCCTATTTTTGCTATTTTTTCTTTCTTGCACATCATTCTACATTTTTTTCTCTCAATATCTTCTTCCTTTGATTTTCTTCTTTATTTTTTTCTTCCTCTTCTCTCCTCTTAACGTTTTTATTCTTCTACAACCATTTTTCCATCTCTCTCTCTCCCTCGTCTTCTCTCTTTCACTTGGTTCTTCTTCATTATGTTTTTCTTCTTCTTCCTCCTTTTCTTCTACTCTCTCTTTTTCTGCTCGTCTTTTTATTGCTCTTTCTTTTTCCATTTTCTTTACTTTTTCTTTTTTATTCTATTCCTGCATCATCATCATCATCATCATCATCATCATCATCATCATCATCATCATCATCACCTTCTTCTTCTTCTTCTTCTTCTTCTAAAACGAATTTGAATACTTTACTATATCTATTTCTACCTATTTAATCACTTCTTTTTTCTTTTTCTTCCTTTTCTTTCTTTCTTTTATGATGTTAAGTCCTTCTTCTCTTTATTTTCGTTTCTCTATACTTTTCTTTCATTCATTCATTACCACTTT